TATCAAAAGTATGAGTTTGTTCTGCTAGGTGCACATTATGCCTTTATTGTGGTGTAATTATGCCAGCTGCCTATGTTTAGTGTCATAAAAAGGAATAAAATGCCCATTACCCGCCTAAAGAATTCTTCTTGTGGGTTTTTTTTATTTTTATTGCTCTGGAGCACACAGTGGGGATATCTTTGATCGGCAATTCTCCATGTAAAATAGCTGGTGAAATACTGTGCTCTCGGAGAGCTCCTCCAGCCAGCAGCAGCCTGTGAAGGCAGCTGGCTGCCAGCCTCACCCCCTGCCTCTGCTCAGTGCCAGCCCGAGCTGCTGGGCGCAGTCACGAGGCCACCACGCTGTCACCATGCTGCTGTGTCTGCAGGAGCTCAGCTGTTTTCCCCTCTCCCAGAGCTCCCTCCTTGCCCAGCAGCCCCTTCCTTGATCCAGGTGCCCAGAGGAAGGGGTGCAGGGATGTGGTGAAGTGACTTTTGGGGTGGAACGATGTACTGAGGATATGCCTGTATCCTCCAAGAGCAACCACTGGTGGCTGAAGGAGATATTTCTTCCATGGGGGAGGACTTGCTTTGTGAAAGTGATAGGGGCATTCTGGTGACACTCTCTGGAAATAAAATGCATAAAATCCCACATCTTTGGAGATGTCTGAAGCCTACTTCTCCTCTTTTGCTTTTAATAGTTTCAGTCTCTGGAAATGGAGCTCATTAGCTTCATCAGGAGCAGGAGTGCTCACAACAGATAGCTCTTAGTGATCTGGTTTGGGTAGATGGCAAATTCATTGTTTTCATAGAATCATAAAGTCGTTTGAGTTAGAAGGGACTCCTGAAGGATCTCTAGCCCAGTTCCCCTGCAATGGACAGGAACCCTTGCAGTTCAGGTGCTCAGAGTCCCATCCATCCTGACCTTCGATGATGGAACATCCACCATCTTCCGGACAACCCGTTCCAGTGCCGCACTACTCATACTGTAGTTTCAATAGATTCATTTTCCAATTTAGTGGTATACCTTCAGCAGATCCCTGATCTTTCCTGCCTAGCTGTGCCTTGCACAACATCCCTTTGAATTCCCTCCACTTATTTTTCCCATCAGATGTTCCTTGAAGTGGCCTTCACAGCTCCCAGCCTCCTCCAACGTCACTGCCTGTGCGCCGTCTGCCCGCAGCGCCGCTGAGGAGCTGGGGATGCTGATAGCAATCATTGATTAAGAGGGTAATCGTCCTGAAAATTCAGATTGATCAGAAGGCAGAAATGATAACTTGTGTAACTGTGTTTAAAACCACATCCTGTCAATAGGGGAGTCGCGAGCAGAAAGCAGGGAGAATGGGATGTTGGGGTGGGAGGGAGCCATTCTTCCTCAGGGTCCGCATCAGGATGTTTCCTGTCACTGACTCTGGGCTATTGGAGATTCAATCACTTTTATCTTCCCTTCTCTCTCAATCCAAATGCCTTTTCGTATTAGAAAATTAGAATCAGCTCTGCTCATGCAAGATTTATTAGCTCTGCTGAGCAATACCACAGAAGAGTAAATGATGTCGCATTTCAGGGGCTTTTTACACATTATGACCAAACTTGCAACTTCTTAAGAATTCTTTCACTGAGCCACTGCGGGGTGTGAAAGGGTTGGGGAGCCAAAATTCTCTCCGGAAACAGGTCTGCACCAGTCTGGGTGTCTCTTCTTTCCTATTTGAATGGTTGGATTTTATTGCTAATACGGAGCTTTTCTTTGGGCTCAGTTTCTGTGCTTATTGCTCAGGAAATCAAACTGTAAGAATTGAGCCTGTTTATCACGTGTTCCCTTGGCAGAAAGAGTTTTCAGTGCTAAAATGCATCTTTGGAACTCTGCTTCTAGCTGCCCCTCATTTACATCTGAAAAAGACAAATCCTGATTCCTTCTGGCACCTTCTCCCTTGTATTTCACACTGGGTGTAAATGCTTTTGTATGTGGTTGCTGACCTTTTATTTACACAACATGTTTTGTGTAGTGACAACATGGATGGGTTAGAAGGCGGCTGTGAGACTGGAACAAAAACAAGGTCTCATCTCTCCTGGCCATAGGCTTCAGCCCCAGTGCTTCTTTAGGTCTTTCCGTTCTGAAATTGCTTGGCAGGCATTAGATCCACGCAGCATCTCATGGACTGGCTGCACAGAAGGGAGACTCAGCTGCCATTCAACTGCTGGAGCAGTGCAGAGATGCTGAAATCAGGCTGCAGGTGGGAATCATTTGTGGCTTCATCTGCTGTTGTGGTGCTGTGGAGCCTGGTGCTTGTAGCTGGGCTTCTGTCAGTCTTATCTCTTGGGGCCAGCTCAATGTGGCCGAGCTGCTGGGATGGTGCAGATGAGGTTGGGGTGGCCTCATGGTGAGACCCTTTTTCATGGGTTCCAGATACCCACCCAGCGGCATGCACCGCGCTGTGGGCTGCAAGTGCTCATCCTCTTCTTGGCAGCTTTAGAGACTCTATTAACAAGCAGTGCTAATTACCTTTAAAACAACACCGTACTTGGAACTGTCCAACTGCCAGCCTAACTTGGCACAAAGTTAGACCATTAATCTCGGCAAAAGGCATTTGTGAAGAGGAGCTTGGAGCTGCTGGCAGCTAGGTTTGCTCGTGGAGTGTCGGTGCTTGGGAGGCGGATACACTTGACAAGCAGAAGGACTTGACTTTTTCCCCTTCCGTGTACAAGCGCTATGTATTATTCAAGGTCTTCTTAAGTCAATGCTGGGTTATTAATCGGTTGCTTCTCTGCATGTTAAATTTCCCTACTAATTTGGAGGCTCTGGGAGAGGGATGCAGCTCGGAGCTCACACAAGGCTGTCCCTCTGTGAGCCTCTGCAAACCCATGTGTGTGCGCGTGTGCTGGGGCTGCTGCAGCCCTGCCGCCTTGGGGTCAGAGGACAGGCTCCAGCAATTGACTTAACGCTTCCATTTCTGGGTATTCTGTGGTGGCCTGCAGGGAAGGGCGGGGGTGCAAAGGCAGTGCAGCCACTCTGGGGCTCCTCTCCCCCCACCTGGCCAAGGCTCTGCCCCAGCCTCCTGCCTCTGCCAGCTCTGCAAGGCGCACGGCACCTGCGCGTTCCAGGAATCACATCAGCTGTCATTACTTACATTACCTTGATTGGGAACAGTCACTTATGTCACCGTCCATCATCGTGCCTCTCCCAGGAGATGCTGAGGAGGGAGGAGAGGAGCGGGAATTATAAAGCGCTTCCGCAGTGCTCTGCCAATCCCACTGAGCATCTGTCAGCAGGCAGCTCGGGGGGAAGGAGGGGTGTGATGGATCCCCCCCTTGTACCCCACAGGGGCCAGCTTTTGCAGAAACAGAACTGTCCCAGGGAGAAGGGCAGGGCTTAAGGCTGCAGTGGCTTCCTGGACGTACATTAGATGGGAGTTCAGCTGGTATCCTGCGTGAGCAGAGCCAGCGAGCTCTGACCTGCCATCCATCCTGTCATTTTAAAGAACTCTCACTGTATGGATGGGATGGTTTATACGAGCCAGGGGCATCACTGCTGCTGCTCCTAGCTGAGTTTGAAGAGCTCTCATGGACTCCAGCTTTCAGTGTAGGCTTTGTTGTGCTGGATGGCCTTGGTACATACAGCTCACCAAGCAAAGAAAGGATTTCAGAAGAGAATCATTCTGGGGAAAAAGCAGGTGCATTTCCATGGTAGTGGGATGGCTAGTGAAGTGAGTAAATATGTGCTATAAACATGTTCAGAGCATCTCCCCGTGAAGAACCCAGCACAACCTTTTTGAGTAAATAGAAAGAGAGCCTGGGTTCAGTTCATATGTCTGTTTTCTTTTCTTTTCTTCTGGTCAACTGTGGCTGTAGATAAGAGTTTTCTATTTGAAGTTCAGAAGGGAAGGGAAATCCATTGTTAGAAGAGGAGACTTTCTTTTTGCTTGATATCTATCTCCAGCGACACAGCAGAGAGGGAAAAGATTTGCTCTGATAAAGGTAGCTTTAAAAAAAAAGCCACACTGAGTGTGGCTTTTTTCTGTACTTCAAAGCTGGAGTAATATGGAGCAGTTTAAAAGAAAAGGGGGGAAAAAAAAAAAAACCAACAACCCAGCCCAGCCTCTGCACGGGGGCTGTGAATACAGAGCCACAATAGAGCAGCATCCTGGTCTGGAGTTATTCCTCTGTGCTCAGTGTGGTGGCATGGGCTGCACTTGGTACTGTGAGGGAAGCATAGCTGGCACCCATGAGAGTGGGCTGTGCTGCTTGGGGGGATAGAAGTTAGCTTTCTGTGTTATGGGGCTGCAAGCTGAGCTTGCCCTAGGGTTCAGCTGTCTCCTGTCAAAGAGGGTAGTGCTAGGAGGGCATCTGCTGCCACCACCCTGTTCCTTGCACCCAGGCAACAGTGTTCCATGTGCAGTAGGGCTGCTCCCTTGCTATCATCCTCTGCCTCCAGCTCGATGGACGCACTCTGGGTAAATAAATAGCATCAAGTGCCACATCTGCTGGACTTGCTGTTGTGGCTTTCTCTTCATCCCCATCCTAAGCCCGGGTCGTGGGCCTCACTCCTGAATATTCCAGGAGGTGATGGGCCACCATCCCTGGAGTATTTAAGAACTGTGGAAATGTGGCACTGAGTGACATGGCCATCAAACATGGTGAGGACCAGTTGACAGCTGGACGAAGTGATCTTAATGGTCTTTTCCAACCTTAATGATTCTGCAGATGTGAGGGTCCCGTGACAGTGCCAGCATCTTGGGCTTGCTGAGTACCCCCCAGCGTCCTCCATGAAGCCTTTACAAGGAGGTAGTAGATGCATACTGGTGCTTGAATCTGGGGAAGGAGCAGGAAAGGAACCAACAAACTCAGTGCTGGCCTGAGCCCAGGCTGGAAGCAAAAAGATCTCCAGCAAACCTGGGCTGGTCAGAGTTGCTAACGAGCCTTTTCTTTGAGCAATGTTTTACATTCTTTAAAGATTGCAGGGAGCTCTTGGGGAGAATCTGCTAAAGTAAATGGCAGAGTCAAGTGTGCCAGCTTCTTTCTTTCCCCTTTCTTTTTCCTTTTTTTTTTTTTTTTTTCTCTCCCCTTTCTTGGTTCTCTTTATTATGTGGAGTTGCTCTGGCTCTTTCTCTCACTTCTGTTTCTCCTTTTGTTCTCTCTTTGTCTATTTATCACACTGTGAAGGTTGAAAGAGATGTTATTAATCTGGGAGAATGAAGGCAGGATTAGTGGTATGAATCGGATTTTGAGAGCTGTAATGATAGAAAGACTCGCTCTGCTGGCGGGCTGCGTGAGTTTGATAAATGGGGAGCACTCCAAACTGACTCGCGCCTTCCTCCGCACTGCTCGCTTTGCCCGCTGGGGCGTGCCATGCTCTCAGATCTGCCAGCCATCCCACACCGCTCCTACCTGAACCAGAGCAAAAAGCCAAGGGTAAATCAGAGACAAATATCTCCCATTGCACTTAAAGAGATCATTTCTTTCAACATCTTTTTCAAACAGAGTCCTGTCAAGTTCTTGGACAGCCTCATTGGTGTGTAGGTAGGATCCTTCTTCATAGCGCAGCTCTGAAGCGCAGCCTTGTGTTACTGCATCCTACCAGGGCTTTGCAGGAAGCAGCACGAAGAGCTCCCAGCCTGCAAGGGACAAAGAACCAGGGCGGTATCCAGAGAAATGAACAGGACCCATCAACTCCAGCCAGGAAGATCCATCACCACAGTCACCCTCACCCACTGGAGCCCATTCCTCACTTAGGTCCATATGACACCCTACAAAGCCTTCAAAGCTGGGGGCACACCCAGCAAGTAGAGAAGTATGGCACTGTAGTGTGATGGAAAACACAGTGATGACAGTAGAGTAGCAGACTCCCAGGCTCCAGCAAACAAGTGTAAGCCCAAGTACAGCAACCACAGACACAAAAACAAGGGAAAAAGGCTGCATACCTTTAAAAGGCCCCAGGTAAGCAGGGATCTCTAACAAGCCACACTTACCTCCCCCTGCCAGCCCTTAAATGAGGGCTGGGAAGGGATGGAGCCAGGATCCACCCCTTCCAGTCACTCAAATGCATTGCTTACACCTGAGCTGCCCTGGGTTGGCCCTGCCTTCCCAGCAGGTGCTCTATCACTGGTTCAGGCTGTGACTTAGCGTTTCCACTACAAGGGGACATTGCACTTTTAAGCTGGTTGATGAATGCAATGTTCACAGCTCTGGTCCTGTCCCTGTTGCAGTGGTGTCGACAAGCATTCATACGTGGAAGCTGTGCCCTACCCCAGGATCCTGCTGGTGGACCTCAGCCTGTGTGTGGCTTCTGCCATACCCATTTGGATTAGCTGCTTGCTTTGCAGCTGGGTGGGCTCTTGTGGTCCAGCACAGGAGCATTTTGCTGAAGTGAGATGTTGCATGACGTTAACATGCAAAGTGTTGAAAAGGGGCATATTGCTTATGCCTGCAGGACCGAGGTATGGTCTTGCCCATACAGAGGCTGCCCAGAAGTGGGAGCAGGGCCGCAGACAGCCCACAGTTGTCTGTGTTCCTTTAACTGCGAGGTAATGGACTCCCCCACGCTCAGGCTGAGTTCTCCTCCTGCATTTGCGGCAATGGTAATGATTGTCAAGGTAGAGCTAATGAGACGTGCACATCTTTAAAGGATCGTGGCTTCTGAGACAAAATTAAAAAAAAAAATGGAAGGAAGAGAGTGGGGGAAGGAGAGAAAGTCCAACTGCTCTGCCTCAGCCAGAGTTCTGCCTGTCTTGCACAGCCCTGGGGACAGAAGAGGTAGAAGGTGGGGTAGGAGAAAGATGTACATGGAAGAGGACATGAGGAAATCAGTCTGCACTTCCAGGCATGGCAGAAAGTGCTGTCTGAATGTTGAAGAGCTATAATCCCCCCATGCCCTTCCTGCAGTGGAAAGGAGGTGGTGGCTGGGGAGGTCAGACAGGATCTGAACCTTTGGGAAGGGCCAGTGGGGAGTCAGGGATATTGCATGTGGCACAGTGTGATCACCAGCACTTCCATCCCCTCCCACTTTCAGTATTTCAACTTCACAGGTTGAATTGGTTCAGAGAAGCCCAACTCAATGAGGAGAGAAAAGATCAGTCAAATATTTCTTAAATCCCGTCTTTAAGAGCTAAGTGCTTGGCTGGAAATTTAAGGCAGGTAATGAGGCTCTCTTCAGATCAGCTTGTGATGTGGAAACTCCAAGATTGAGCGGGCTGCAACAGGAAGGGAGCTGAAGTGCAGTGGGGATGGAGTGGCTCGGGATCCCCGTGCCCAGCACTCTGCCCGTAGCCATGCCATGCCCTGACATCATCTCCCTCACCATCCTGCTCTGCTCTGCTCCTCTTCCAGGCAAGAGCTGGGACTCTCCGAGCTTCCCTCTTTGTATCCAGATTTTTAGGCCTTCTGTTGTTAATTATTGAGATGTAATAATGTGATTAGTGCACTATTAAAAAAATCGCTGATATGATTACCATGGATTTAATATCACATGATATATCATTACATTGTTACGTGGTGACAGATGTAATTGAAATACACTTATTGGAGCCTGGGGTCGTGTTTCATTCAATCACAGGAGCACCTCTGAGGGGTAGAACAGAAATGCCTTTAAAAAAAGCATCAGGAGAGGAAATCGTAATGAAAACAAAGAATCTTGCAGCCTGCTCAGATTTTGGGCAGCTTCTGCCTTGGGTTTTTCTCCATGGGAATTGAGAAAGGGTCAGGTTAGGACCATGGTGATGGAGCAGCTGGAAAAGGTAGGTCAGCCACGTTGACAGGGCAGTTGATAGAGCAGCCAAGGAGACAGGGAGGAGGACTTGTAGGAACCTGCACTCAGGTGTTGGGGAGGCCTTTTCTGATGTCACAGAGAACAGCAGATATCTGTCCGTACCGCGTCGTCCTTGGCAGGATCTGCAGGAATTGAAGTCCCCTTCCCCGGTAATGGGCTCCAGTGACAGGACATTACCTTCAGAGAAGTTGGGGCGCTTGGGGCTTGGCTTATGCCTAGCCCTGAAATGGTGCAACCTGCAAAATGGGGCTCAAGTAACAAGGTGCTGTGCTTATCCTGAACCTCATCTAAAACAAAGGAGAAAGAATTTTCCAACTGAGAAGGAAATGGCAGCGTGGAGACATCTGGATGTTTGCATAATGGTGTGCAGGCAGCTGGCTTCATGCATTTGGCACTGCATTGCCCCTTGCATCTGTCCCAGGAGCTGGGCAACAAACCCTGTTGATGCTTCAGGGGCGCTCCTGCTTCAGATAGGCATCCAGTTCTGCCCCACTGGAAATGGTCAGTGTTCCTGTTGTGAGCCTTTGCTTTGCCAGGAGCTGTGGAAATTCATTTCCAGCTGGTGTGGGAGTGCTGTGGCTGGGAAGGCTCTGGCAAGCATCTTTCTTTCGAGGTTAGAAACATAATTTCAGTCTGACCTCTGAGTTTCGGAGCTTTTGTTGGTTTTCTCCACCCCCAGATGGTTTTTGTGTGTGATTTTAAAATAGCCTTCTTCTCTTGGTTGCAGCTAGCTGATGCGTCCGCTTCTCATTCGAGGATTGTTGTGTTTTATTAATGCTGTTATTATTCCATTACTGTCATTGTGCTCTTTTATAGCAAATAGCTTAATTTAGTTGAGATACACAGATGCTGAGAGTTTAAGTGAAATCTTCAGCACTTGGTATGCTGGGTACTGATATTCCCTAAGTACTCTGATATAAACCTTTTGCTTTAAAACAAATCAGCTGCCAGGGGCGTGCTGGGTGGCAGGGATCTGGGAGGAGGGGTGGATGAATGTCTGTTGATCCCACACAGAGAACCCTGGCCATGAGCTGAACTCGGTGTCCCTTATGGTCCCTTCCAACATGGGATATTCTGATTCTGTGGTTCTGTTCTCAGGAGCAAAACTGAGGGTTTCATCACCTAGGGAGGCTGTGTTGGGGTTCTTGCCCTACAGATGTTGCAGCAGCACAAAGGAAATGACACTAGCAACATCGCCATTTGGGGGCTCACTTTTTATTTTGGCAAGGGTGGCAGAACATGCTGCACTGCCTGCAGCTGAAGCTGTTTGACTGCTGGGAGAGGAGAGGGGCTGAGGGCCAGCACTGGTGCCCAGATGACGTAAGGGACAAGTGACTTGGGTGCTTAAGCCTCTCTGGAGGTGCAGTCCAATCTCTTGAGTACCTCAGGTATTTTTGAGATTTCACCTCTTAGTGCTGACAGATGTTGATCTGAAATGGGTGCTTCTTTCTTGGTGCCTCTGGGCGTTTATTAGTGGTAGTGATAACTGTTCCAGATTGCCTCCTATACCTTAAAAATTAAGGAGGAAAAGCCAAAGCCCCATTGCAGTCCTCTTATTTGTGCACTTAACTCTTACTGCCTTGGCAAAACAGAATGATGTGGGTGCAAGGAATGAATATGAGCAGGGAAAAACTAGAAAGGAGCAAAGTAAAATGAAGCAAATGAGTGCCCCAGAGGTTAAGATGGCAGCAGTGGCTCAAGGGGAAGTGTCCTTGTCACCTGGCCGTGGCCAGGAGGGTGCTGTGTGCCTGCAGAGCGAGACAGCTCCAGTTCTGGGAGTGCTCCCCTTTCTCATGATCCTCAGTGGCACGGATTTGGCTTGCCATTTGGGTTAGGTGAGGCGACCGGTTCCTTGTGGAGTGGGGACAGATCCCCTGCTGACCCCTGCTGCCGGTCCCCAGTGTGCACTCATAATAGCTTTGGCTCCATGCGAAGTTGTCAGGATCATTTTATCTCCCTGCTTTGAGGCAGCTTTGTGGCTTTATCTGGCTTTCGAGACGACCGGGAGAGCTAACAACATGCAGAGAGCATCCTCTGCGGAGGGGACCTGGAGCCCAGTTTTGCTAGAGGTCTGCTTTACCACTTATGAGAAACGAGTTAACCTCCCTTTGATCTCAGTTCACGGCTAACCCTTTAACAAAGTCCTGGATGTGCGAGGAAATCAATACTCAAGGCATTGAATTTAACACCAGCCATCAACTCAAGCGTAACACACACACTGGCTGGCTGCGATTACAAGCAGTGGGCTGGTTTGGAGCTCGTTTGCCAGCTCTCTGGGGTGCACAGGGCAGGCGGATGTGCTCGCATGGCTTGCTGGCACTCAGGAGGGGTGAGAGGGACCTGGCTGTGCCCCGTCCTCACATCGCCTCTGCCTCCTGCACCCCTTGTCCTGAAAAGAAAAAGATGTTGCAAGTTAAAAGTGGAACAGTAAAATCGTCGCTGTTTGCTGTTCTGTCAAAAGCAGGGAGCATCATTTCTGCCTCCCACACTGCAGGGCCCCCGCCTGCCGCCTGCTTGCACCCATCAGCGCTCTTAGAGCCCCCTCTGCTTTCACCTCCCCAGCTGTAACTCTGACCTGAGTCAACAGACAGGGGAAGAGCTGCTGTGCAGGTGATCCAGGGTGAGTTCTGCCTTTGATCAGACAGGTGTCGTCCGCAGGCAGTGCCTTGTTAACTCACCTCTCCCTCCCCGCTGCCATGAGGCCTCCTGCGTGGGCAAGGGATGTGGCCACTGCCCTCTTAATCCTTACTGATCTTTTCCCTGGTGCCTTCTGCCTTGTAGTCTCCCCTCTTTCTCTTGCTGTTCTAGCTCTGTCTCCTTTGAGTGGCTTCATGTCCTGGGGGAGTGCTGAGAAACTTCATTCAGTTCTTGCAGCTCATAGGTCCCATAGTTCTGTTGAGTTGGTGCTGGGCCAAATCATACAATCGTTTGACTTGGAAGGGACCCTCAAGAGCCATCCAGTCCAACTCCAATGAAGAGGGGCACCTACATTCAGGTGCTCAGCCTGACCTTGGCTGTCTCCAGGAACACCTTTCTGGGCAGCCTGTGCCAGTTCCTCACCACCACTCTTATTATACAAAGCTTGTTCCTCATATCTAGTCTAAATCTACCCTCTTATAGTTTAAACTCATTTCAAATGTGAAGGCTGCTTTCTGTTTCTGCAAGTCTGCTGTCTGGGAAGAGGAGGTAAGGAGCTGCAGGGCGCAGGTTTCCATGCCCCTCTGGTGAGAAGGACCTGCAGGATCAATCAGTCTCCTGCTTCTTTCCCATCTGACAGGGC